TATATATATATATATATATACAAATATATATATATATATATATATATATATACATATATACACACACACACATTATTACAGTATATATACTGTTGGAGTTATAACAGATTACCAATAATGCATATTACTAATGAGATTGGACCCCTTAGTTGGCAATTGTGAATTTAAAATTGCTGAAATCATGTACATTTACATTAGCCATATTCAGAAATCCTTGCAGGTATGTATTATCGCAGCTCTTGAATGACCTTCCAGCAGTGGAGGGTATGTTGACCAGACAATCAATGGTTACAAATGTGGGAAGAATCTCTATGTACTTCTCGGGTCCTCTGTCAGCAGACTCATGTTTAAAACAGCTATTGGATTTGACACTGTTATTACTCTATGAGTTGGATGTTGACAACTAATATAAATAATAATGAAATAAAAGATTACTAAGGAAGATGGTAAATATATCACTTTTTTAGGTAAGCACAGAAAATTATAAAAAATCTAAGACTGAATAATTATTGGCTCATTTATACTCAGTCTTACATACTGTAAGTTTAAAGTGGCACTAAACTCAGGAGTTAAAGTTTAAAAATACTTACAAGTTCCTTAACTATTAACAAAAATGTATCTTATTTGTGTATCACTCTGGTGTAGATCCTCAAATCATCTCTTGATGTGGCGGTGGCTGCTTTACATGTGTTGTAAAATAGCCACAGTTCTAAGCTACCTCCTGTGATATATGAAACATAATCTTACATTTAGTTTACTAATTTGTATTGAGATTGTAGTCCATCGGGGAGTGAGCTTGGAGCGGTGGCTACTCTACAACACACACAGGCACTATGGGGAACAAAAGTAGCCACCCTCCAGAAGGAAGGACAGTGTCAGCACCAATTCAGAGATGATTTGAGGATCTACAGCCGAGTGATACACAAATAAGATACATTTTTGTTATTAGTTAAGGTACTTAAATGCATTTTTAAGTTTTAATTCCTGAGCTTAGTGTCAGTTTAAATGTGACTGCATCTCTTTAAATGTTATCTTAGCTAAAGTCATTTGAAAGCATTGACTTTAACTGCATCTGAATTTTTGTTTTCAGTACATTTTTTATGCTTTTGCAAAAACCAATACTGGATTTCCAGTGGCTAGACCCCTGAAAATTGAGGTAAATGTTGCTGATGTCAATGACAACCCGCCAGTGTGCCCAGCAGCAGAGGCTGTGTTTGAAGTCCAGGAAAATGAAGATATTGGTACGTTCTTTGTTCTTCCTTTAGAATATTTTGTTTAAGAGGACCAGCCTCAGAATACATACCAACTTTCTGGTAGCTTATATATAAGCCACTTGTGGGCTAGTACCTGTGGAACAATTTTATTTTTATATTTTCCCAATCTGGGTAAATATGGATTTTTGTGGGTAAATACAGTAGCAAAGCTGAAGGAGTGCAGGTACAGGAGTCACAATACTCTCTCTAGCTGGAGTCCTATCTCCTCTTTCTCTGTGAGTTAATAATTGGTAGATTCTGCAGGCTACCTGTAGCATACACAGGGAGAGCTTGATGCCTAAAGCTGGCCAAACACCTATAGATAATTTGCAGATTTTTTATGGTCAGATATAAAAAGTGCAACAGATTCCTCCATCTACGCGAAACTGTGTGGATGGAGGAATCTCCTGCTGGGTCAAGCTTCAGTATCGGCCCCACTGACTGCCAAAATACCTGAACAATGCCTGCATCCAATCAGATTGTTCAGGTATTTTGAGAGCCAGCGGGACCGACTAGCAAGATACTGAAGCTTGGGCCAGTGAGAGATTCCTCCATCCACACAGTTTAGCAAAGATGGAGGAATCTGTTGCACTTTTTCCATTTGACCATAGAAAATCTTCAAATAATCTATAGGTGTATGGCCAGCTTTACTCACAGAATTATTGGACTAAAGCCTACTTTTTTTCTTTTAGTGCAGTATAGAATGCAGGAGGGGTTACAATTTTTGCCAGGTATTTGTCTGTGACCGTGACCCCATTAGGGAGATTTTCTCGTACTGACTATCCCTTAGATGCTGTACAGAAAACTTGTTAGAATGTCTAACTCTTTACTAAAAATGGGTTTGTGCTTGCCTGCATTCCCGTTGAGGGAGATTTCCCATGACTTCCCATCCTTACAATACGTGAAGGGAAATCTCCCGAGCAACAGAAGGTCTAATCCCTTTGCGCATTATCCAATATTAGCTGTAGTTCAGTTTTTTAATTAGTAATAACATACCTTAGTTGATGATGAAAGACTATGAGACTGTGGAAAACTGCATGTGCATGTGACGTTTGATGTGACTGTCCCAGAAGGCTTAAGGAGGCTGAAGGCACATCATCAGGGAGGAATAAGAAAGTGGTAGGGTGGAAAAGCAATATTTACTATTACACTATTTACAGATCACCAAAACATGAACATTCTTATCTAATGTGTAATTGGGAGGAGGGTGAGAATGGCAAAGTAAATTAAATTGTGAAAGGTCCACTTTAACAAAACACAACACAGGCTGAATAATCATACAAATTTATACAAATGCAAACAGACTGTGCTATGATGAAGACGGAAGAGTCCGAAAGCAGTGTTAAAGAAATGGTAGCATAGCATGACCCCAATGTGAAAATACACTTACAATTTAAAGAAGAACTTCACCCTCATCTTAAAAATCACAACAGAGCACTATTAGAAATGTTTAGTGATGTCAATCTACAAAAAGATACTTATACATAATTGCCGGCTTTTTTTCTTTCCCTACCAATTCTTCTCATTTGGCCATTTACACTAACAGCAGATGAATCCACCTCACTTTACTTCCTGGAAGTGCGAGATTTGCAGTTTACAGATGAGATTTCCCAGGAAGACAGTGGTGATGTTGCCTTCTCAGGATGCATCTGTGAGGCCAGGGCTACATCACCAGTGTTTCACTCAATCAGGAAGCGGAAATACAGTATTTGTAAGTGAAAGCAAAAAATGTTGATCTCATATCAGCATGCTGAGTTGCGCACTGATGTGATTTTTAGTGAAAGGGGTAAAGGTCCACTTTAAGAGTTCTGCATGCCTACAACTATCAAGCACTTGTGGCAGAATTTAACAAATAAATTGCTGTGAGTGGCACCTCTTCAGCTTCAGAATCCTGTAAACATGATTAGTTGAGGTAGCCAGAGACATAACAAGGTTTATGTTGAATTCTTAACACACTTTTAAATACACATCAGTCATCTGAATGTAATTGTCTTATACAGTGCACACAGATAATTTTCGAATACACAACTTTTATCTTCCAGGAAGCTATATTGGTACATTTACAGCCACTGACATAGATGAGCCAAATACAAGAAACTCGATTATACGTTACACACTTCTGGAACAGATGCCAAAAATACCAACAGCAAAAATGTTTTTAATCAATGAATATGATGGTCGTATCCAACTAACAAGTGGTGGGCTAAATATCCTAGACAACGACCAGTACAGATTGGAAGTGAATGTTTCTGATGAAGGGAGGCCAGGTAAGTTTAACTATTTCAAGGGAACTGCTTTCTGATCTTTACCATGATAGGAGCAACCCAAGGGGTAGCCTAGAGCAACCTTTCATAACCTGGATGCCGTGGCACTCTGGGGTACCTTCTAACTGTGTGAGGGGTGCCTTTCGAATTTTCATACAATATCATGCACTTCCATAGTCCAGATGAGCTGGCCTCTAGCACCATGGAAACGCATGATAGTAATCCAGTGCAGGCGGAATTCTGACCACCCCCAGCGTTCAGAATTGGATAGAAGTCCGTCTGCATCCAGACCTGAATGAGGACTATTAATTAAATTCCAATGAACCTGGAGTAGATTTCCTGTTGTTTATAGTGTTCAAGTTTAGGTTTGAAATGTTCTAAACAATAATAAGAGTTTTAAGAATTATATTTTTTCTTATGATTAGACACAAGCAATGTTACCATAGTAAGGGCTTGAGTACCAAAGGTGACCCCATGGCAGGTGACATTTTAAAAAGCTCAAAGGCAAATTTATAAAGGATGCATACAGTATTTACATACAGTATGTATTCTTTCAACAGTCATACAACCTTTTCTCAATTAGACAGAAAGTTGGTGCTTGTTAAAACGCAGGTATAAAGGTTCTAATTAACTGATGTCACTGTACAAAGCACAGTATGAATAACACAAGCTAAACATACCTAAAACCACCAGCTATATAAATTATATGTAATCACACAGCAAAAAAGGAAAGAGGGCATAATAATAATTGTAATAATTGCTGGGTAAAGATGAAAAAAAAGTGGATCTAATAATGATGAAGATGATGATGATGATGTTAATGACCACACCATATAATGTTATGAATTAGTTATGCTAACGATTCTAAAAGCATTAAAGTAAATGCTAACCCTGACCAACAGCTCACTTACTTTAACAGCTGAAAAGGAAAATTATTCAACAGAGCTTGCTGTAGCGGGTCACAAAACAAATCCATTGAATTCTTTACTTGTATTACCGTTTGCATATTCTTATTATTCTGTCCACCGATTTTATCTATTGCTCTTCAGTCAGATATAACACTTTGATTTTGTACCTGCTGATAACTGGTAGTTTATTTCACATGATATATTCTCATAAAAACAAGTCATGATATCAGATATTTAAATTAAAGTTTTTTTTTTCTTTTTTGCAGTTCTTAGTAATATTTGTTGGATAAGGATTAATATAATTGACATCAACGACCACATTCCCATTTTTCAAACATCTGATGTAAGTACATTTTCTTAGCTCTGCGTGTTCCTGTTTATTTATTTAGGGGTCTATTCACAAAGCTGCCGAAGGATCTAGCTGTAGCTTCGGCTCATCCTTCGGCTAGCTTCAGCCCCAGGACCCCTTCGGTTCAGTGGAACCAAAGGACAGCTGTACGGGCTATTTACTATAGCCCGTACAGCTCCCGAAGTTGGCCCAGCGGCTCAGTCGAGCCCGAAGGCATATGCCTCGGCTCGACTGAGCCGAGGTCAAAGCTGAAGCTGGTCGAACGGCCGGCCGACAGCCTGCTACTGAAAGCTGGGCGGAGCCAGCCATCATCTCATGGCTGGCTCCGGCCACTTGCAGAGACAGATCAGCGTACCCTGGTTACCAGGCTCCCGGCCGCCCCGGAGAGAAACACTTTCTCCCAGAAAGTATCCCTAATAGGAATGCATAGCTACATTCCTTTTGGCTATTTCACTTTGCAATATCCAATATCAAACTAGCTATTGCACCCGCCCACTGCTGCAGTCAATGAGCAGAGGGGACCTGAAGTTCTCCATCAGGTCCTCTTCTAGTTATTGACAGCAGCAGGGGGCGGGTGCAATAGCTAGTTTGATATTGGATATTGCAAAGTGAAATAGCCAATAGGAATCTAGCTATGCATGCAACTCAGCAGAGCCGGCACACCGCCGGCTCCAACAAGCTCTCATTGTAATGACAGCTGGTCCCGGCCAATAGAAAACAGTTGGGCGGAGCTAGCTGTCACTGCTAGCTCCCCCCAATCGGTCTCTATTTTTTTTTCTACTTTGTTAAACTGTTTTTCTATTCTGCTCGGTACCACAGAGGTACCGAGCAGAATAGCCGAGCCGAATGCCACTCTGCAGCATTCGGCTATTCACTCACTGCTGTTCGGCCCCTATGAGAATAGGCCGAACAGCAGCGAGTAGCCTGCCGGAGGTTTGGCTCAGCCGATCCAGATGTTGGATCAGCTGAGTCGAACTCCTTCTGCACTTCGGGTTGGCCGCATATGCTGAACAAGTTCCCGCCGACCCGAACCCAGCCGCAGCAAGCCGATGTACGGCTGATTTCTGTCAGTGTACGGCTGAAATCAGCCGTACAAGCCTGAAGTGAATAGCTGAACAGTGTTCGTCTCACTTCACTTCGGGTCGGTTATTCACACGGCTGCTTTCGACAGCTTTGTGAATAACCCCCTTAATGTTACGTAAAATTGACCCTACATTGGGATACAAATTAACATTTACTGTGTGAGTTAGGTGACTGAGCTGTGAAAAATAATACAAGCAGAGACTTCTTTAAGCAGCCATTTGCTATGTAAATATTACTATTGATCTGGCAAAGTGCCGCTTTAGATATTGGCTGGAAGGGGAGGCCTAAAATAGGTATGCTATGAGATTCTGACATAAACAAAAGTAAAAGAAACAAAAAATTGTATTCTCTGCATCCTGAATGGGACCTCACCAGGTGTATTCTTTTGTACTTTGTATAGTATGGAAACATAACCCTAAAGGAGGACATACCTTTGGGAACTGTGGTAATGAACATATCGGCCAGTGACGATGACCAACCACAAACTGGAAGCTCTGACATTATATACAAGATCATCCAGGGGGACCCAGGTCACATGTTTATTATTGATACAGATCCTAAAGATAATCAAGGGTACATCAAGGTAGCTAAGGTAAGCTATTATAGATATGCTAAGGTAGGCCAGTAGATACTAAAAACCCTCTTCTGGACATAAAGTACATCACTGCTCCCTCTTGAAACAGATGGTATTGACACTTACACATAATCTGATGTTATTTGAGATGTTGGAAGCATGAAATAGTCATAAGCATGGGGATAGACAGTAGGGGTTCACATCCAGAGCTACATCATATTTGTGCTATAAACCACCCAGTGGATGTAAAGTAGACCATATGATCATAAAACAAGGATTTTCACGTCTCTGTCTACACATTTTTATATGAAAAATTATTATTACATTTTTAAAAAATTTAGGTGATATGTGAAAGCAGTCCTACACTGTGCTATTGCTGGACAACCCGCAACCAGATGCTAAAATATATATGAAATATAATTGATCTGATCGATCTTGTTATATATCTGGTGACAGATATATAACAAGATGCAAAAGTACTGATCACCGTGATCTCAGCCAAAGTGGGGGATCATAGCTCAAACCGAGTCATTGACCTCCTGGCTCTGTTTGAATAAATGTCCCCTAAAAACAATCAGTAGAATTCTGAAAATCATTAAATTAGGGGCGCAACCTTATTTCAGTATAGATTTACTTTAAAGCTGAACTCAAGGCAAATATCTAAATACAGAGATGACACTGTTCAGGGGATTGAAAGAGGCTGATACAAAGTCAAAGTCAGCTACTTACGCTAGTTTAATTTACAAAAAAAATATAATAATTTATAGCTGCACTTATCAGTGTTTTTTTTCTATCTTCCCTGAGTTCAGCTGTGAGCTAATTATACATTGGACTATTTTCATAGTAGAAAGGTGCTTTAGATATATTCTGATACTTATCGTCCCCTTATTTGGGGTACCCTCACATTTCTTGCACCGTTATTATCTGCTTGTAGGGATGCATGGATACAATTTTTTCCAGACTGAGTACGAGTACCGATACTTTTCCTCAAATATTCGCCCATACCAATTACCGAAGCCTTTTTTTAGTGTCGTGTGACAGTTTTTCTAAAACAATACAGAGTAATGATTTTAGGACAGTGGTTGAACACCAGGGCCCGGTCCCATCTGCAAACATTGCACCCCTGGCACTTCTGCCACTGATTTTAAGCAGTAGAAGGACTATAAATCCCAGCAATACATTATATAGCAATGCAGAAAATCACCAACTATAGAGGACTACAAATCCCAGGAATACATTATACAGCAATGCAGAATAATATGACGCTACATACTCTGTGTTGCTTACCAGGGCTATGTGTAGGATCTCACCAGTGCTGGGTGCAGGGTCTCACCAGGGCTGCGTTTGGTCTCACCAGGGCTGCGTTTGGTCTCACCAGGGCTGCATTTGGCCTCAACAGGGCTGCATGTGGGTCTCACCAGGGCTGTTTGCGGGTCTCACCAGGGCTTCGTGTGGGTCTCACCAGGGTTGCATGCAGGGTCTCATCAAGGCTGCATGCAGGGTCTCATCAGGGCTGTGTGCAGGGTCTCATCAGGGCTGCATGCTGGGTCTCAACAGGGCTGTGTGCAGGTCTCACCAGGGCTATGCAGGTGGCTGCGGGTCTCACCAAGGCTGTGCGGGTGGGTGCGGGACTACCCAGTGCTGTGCCAAATCTCACCATGGCTGTGTGGGCTGCGGGAAGGAGGAGATGTGCGGCAAGACCAGTGCTGTAAACAGGTGCCGCAAGGTCCTCCACAAGGCTACTGTGATGTCCCCAGCAGCTCCTCATGTTTAAAAATGTAAAGCACCGGTATCGGCGCTTAGTATCGGGGCATTTTCATGAGTACGAGTACTGATATTGCATAATAGTTGTGTCTGCATAACAAGATTGCTCATTCTTATACAGATCAGATTGGGTGACCAAATCTGCCTGTTTATGGCCAGATTTGCAGCAGCTAAGATAAATGAATGTTGCTCATATTATGTAAGTGCCTTAGTTCTTACAAATCTTTTACTTTTTATATTTTCAACAGCCACTTGATTATGAAGCATATAAAGTACATGAGCTGGTGATAGAAGCCACAAACCCCGAGCCTTTGGTTGCAGGAGTACATTACAATGATAGCTGCAAGACACGTTTAATCATAAACATCCTCGATGTGGATGAGAGGCCATTTTTTTTAGACACAGTATACCAAGCAGAAGTTTTTGAGAATGTCACCATTGGAACAAAGATAATTACTGCAATAGCCCTGGATCCTGAAGGAGATCAAATAAAGTAAGTTTATTACAGATCAAATTGACTGGTATTCATGTAAGCAACCATTGTGCCAATCCGCTTGAAAAAGATCAGTTCAAAGACAAGCATAAGGGTCTAGGTCCTCAGCTGCAAAGAACGTATAGAACATGAACATTTCAGTTTTTCACTGAGTACAAAGAATAGCTTTGATTTTTGTCGCTTGTTCATGCAATTCTATGTGCTGTCAATCATAAAAGGGAACACAGACCTTTACTATCCAAGGGGGTTATTCACAAAGCTGCCGAAGTGAAGTGAGCCGAGCGATGTTTGGCTATTAACTTCTGGCTTGTACGGCTGATTTCATCCGTACATCGGGTAAAATCAGCTGTACATCGGCTGCCTTCCGCTGCCTTTGGTCAGCCGAACTTGCTCTGCAGGTTCGGCTGAGCCGAAGTGCAAAAGGAGTTCGACTCAGCTGATCCAACATCTGGATCGGCTGAGCCAAACCTCCGGCAAGCTACTCGCTGCTGTTTGGCCTATTCTCATAGATGCCGAACAGCACTGAGGGAATAGCCGAATGCCACCGAGCGGCATTCGGCTCAGCTATTCTGCTCGGTACCTCTGAGGTATCGAGCAGAATAGAAAAGATGCCGGCAAAAGAAAAACAATTGGGCAGGGCTAAGAGTGACAGCTAGCTCCGTCCAACGGTTTCCTATTGGCCGGCACCTGCCAGAGTCTTCTAGCAGGTCCCGGCCAATGAATAACATGTGGGCGGAGCCGTCCATCACATCATGGCCGGCTCCGCCCAGTTGTTATTGTTTAATGACAGATCAGCGTCCCCAGGGGACGCTGATCTGTCATTACAACTGGGCATGCGAGCCGTGAGATCACGCCCAGCTGTCATTTGCGTGGAGATCGGTCGGCTTCGGCTGACCTTTCTCCACACTTCCGCTGTCACTTTGGCTCAGCTGAGCCGAAGCATATGCCTTCAGCTCGGCTGAGCCGCTTGGCTGCCTTTGGCAGAGGCGGCGGAAGAGAGCCGAAGGATCAGCCAAAGTTACAGCAAGGGAATAACCCCCTAAAACATTTCTCTTTTTCCAGGTTTTCACTGGCAGAAAATCCAAGGAACTGGCTCAGAATAGATGAAAATACTGGAGCTGTCTACAGCAATCTTGAACTAGATCGTGAAACACAAAGCCACTACCAGGTGAAAGTGATCGCCTCAGAAAAAAGTAAGATCAATTTCTACAGGGGACCTGATGGAATAAAAAAGAAAGCTGCCAGTGCTGACTTTAATTTTTTATGTGCAAGCTATGAGTATCTTCAGTTTACACAGTTTGGCGTAGATGGAGGAATCTGTTGCACTTTTTCCATCTGACCATAGAAAATCTGCAGATGATCTATAGGTGTATGTACAACTTTAGGCTTGTGGCACTGAGTGAAGACACTTCATCATTCAGAAGTTGATCTGACTCGCAGTCTGTGACAGTGTTAGTACATGGCTACCGGCTCCCTGTTCAGAGCTCCAGTCACAGAATCTGGCAGAGGAAAGTCTTCCAGCACCAACTTTTGTGGTTCAGAGATGACATGTGCCCGAATGCCGATAGTCACACAGGAAGCTGATGCTGGAAGATGTAAGAAAGTGTGTCGCAATAAATCATGTCTTTTTCACCATTTCCACCAATCAGTGCAGCACACTTTATTTCACCCACAGAAATGTGTCCCTTCCACGAAAAGACTGGTTGTGTTTGCCCCCATGCCAAAGGTTCCCGCTCCATTCAGCAGAATCAGCCGAACTCCCATTCCTGATTGCCATACTGGCTAGGCTAAAATCCATGCTTAGCACCAGTGATGTGCGGTACCTATTGTTCCAGGTGAGGCCTTCCCCAGCCTCGACCCAGCACGTCCCACCCCTCCCCCTGCCGGATGAAGCCCCATCCGTTACTGTTTAACCTAACTACCTGTCTAAAGTTGGATGCAGCACTGCCTGTAATAAACAGGCAGCGCTCCGTCCATAGCAGGTTACACAGCGGGGAGGCTTCCCTTCTGAATAACCTCATAGAAGCCGATCTGAATGGAGAAAAAGCTGTCAGCTTCAGACTTGAAGCTGACAGCTTTTTCCTCCATAATTCTACATAGTTTACATAGTATTTGAGGTTGAATAAAGACATAAGCCCATCAAGTCCAACCTATTGTGTGTATGCATTTATGTTTGAGCAGGTGTGTGCATGTGTATTAGTCCATGTGTGATTTTGATCTTAGGCGTACCTGTACCCCTGTATGTTATGGTCTCCAAGGAACTGGTTCAGGAGTTTCTTGAATGATTCCACACTCTTAGCTGAAATCACTTCCTGCGGCAGCGAGTTCCAGACTTTAACCGCTCTAACTGTGAAGCTACTGAAGGATCTAGCCGTAGCTTCGGCTGATCCTTTGGGTAGCTTCGGCTCCAGGACCCCTTCGGTTCAGGGCTGTTGTACGGGCTACTCACTATAGCCCGTACAGCCCCTGAAGTTGGCCGAGGGGCTCAGTCGAGCCGAAGGCATATGCTTTGTCTCGAATGAGACGAGGTGAAAGCCGAAGCTGGCCGAACGTTGGCCAGCTAAATCCCAGCTCCAGGGTGGTCGATGTTTGAGCTTACACAGGGTTGAGGAACTTCTACTCTCCCCCACAAGCCAGTGTCAGTGGACCAGGTGATTGTTCAGGCTCAAGCTTCGCATCCTGGGAAAAAAGGGAAGTACTGAGTATTTCAAAGGGCTCAGACAGATGAATGACAGATGAGTGGTGGAGGAGTGCAGTAAGGGAGAGAATCAGCAGAAGGGGAGAGAGATTGTTTTTAAGAGAACCTGTCACTTTTCCTGAATGGCAAAAATATTTCCACAAGATGATAAAAAGAACTGATCAATTGTTGTGACTTGACCTCTTATGTTGTTTTAACAGATAACCCACAGATGAGCTCCTGGGCATACTTCCATCTCTACCTGAAAGACGTCAATGACAATCCTCCCCGCTTGGTCAAGGACTATTTGGGTGACTTCACCGTCTGCCATCCAATTTCTAAACCACAGTCGTTCGAGTTTCACGGAACCGACGATGACTATTCTCAGGTCTTGTCACTTAGATTTCGACTTGGAGATGTAAACTTGACAAACGATTGGGAAATTCAATACGTTAACCGTAGGTGTCTCTAATGTTTGCCTGTATAGAGCACTTAAGGAATATCTAAATGTCGGCTATTATACTTTTGATTACATCAGAATAAATTAAATTAGAATGACTTTAAGTCCAGTTCCACCCGACAACATTCTTGGTTTTGGTTAGTGTAAGAGAGGGTATAACCTCTGCCAGCATTTTATTGCCATCTGTGCTGAGTTTACACCTTATAGCCTTTCCTGGTAACCAAAGAGAAAGTAATTAATCTCTCCAATGGTGATCATCGACCACAATAAAAATCTGACAGAGGTTCCCACCTTTCCATTCTTTGCTTTAAAAAATGTACTATTTTCAGTGCCCCTTTGAAGAGGTTTTGCTTACTTCCTGTCTCAATGACATCACAGGAACTGAAAGCCAGTCTCTCTAGTCATTATAACACCAACAGTAAACATCTAGCAAAGGGTTTAACCCATCTGTCCAAAAGTTTAACAAAAATAGTTTTGCCTAAAATTCAGCTTTAAAATTATATTGTATTATTGATTGTTAAAGCAAATTTCCAAACAATTTTCATGCTTGATGGGTTCCTTTTCAGTAGGTTTCTGTTATAGGGGCAGAGATTTAGTATATGTGCAAGTGTGTTGTATATACATGTCTGAGTTATACGTGAAACAACTTCAACTCCATTTAATTTACTTGTGTAAACCTACAGGCACTTCTGCACGCCTGGCCATGAAGCATATAAAATTCCCAAAACAAAGCATCTTTGTACCAGTTAAAATCCAGGATAACGGGAGACCTCCACTGGAAGCAACTGTCAACATTCCAAGTATGATGCACAAACAAATAATGTTAGATTATCATAATTAAGGAAATGTGTAATATTTTATGAATATATTTGTTCTTTATTTATTATGTTGAGGACTTTTTTTCCAAGACAATATAGCCTAAAGAAAGCCTAGTTTGCCAAAAAATAACAATGTATGTATTACTTATTACTATAAGCAATGACAAACTATCGCCATAAAAACAGGCCTATAGTGGGAATGTAAAAATTGCGCTGGTCTAGAGGGGTATACAGGTAGGAGAGCCGAAGTAGCTAAAAATGTTTATTTTCTATGTAGACAAAAATATGTAAAAAAAATGTGACCAGTGTTTAGTTAAAAAAAAAGTAGTTTTGCTTTAAATAAAAATAATGATTTGCTCAGTTTAAAACCACAAATGTTTTGGGGTACAGAATGGATACAGCCTGCAGCATGGCAAAAGCTATTTGCAATGGAAAAAAAGGCTTTTTTTTTCCAGCTTTGCACTCTTTTTGTGCAACAAACAAAACAAATGAAAAGGAAAGAAAGAATTACAAAATAATTACTAGTAATTATTATAATAATAACTAAATAAATAAACAAATAACTCATATAATAACTGGGAAAGGAGTGATGGAGAATACTATAAAGTTTCACTTAAGGGACAGCTCTAAATATGCTGAGGCTGCTGACATCACATCCAAGATGGCATCACCCAACAGCAGTCTCAAGGCTTTTGAATGTGTACATGAGGAAGGCTCTTACATCTAAATAACATGCATCAAATATGTTAAATACACATAAAATGTTATGTAAAGATTGTTGTTCAGGGGAATTGTCTAAAGACAGATTTTCTTTAAGGGAAATATTACATTTAAGATGTTGCGTTAACCATATTTATTTTTCCAGTTCTGATGTGCACTTGTACCGCTCAGAATAAGTGTGAAACTGAACCTGCAGATAGTATGGGCTTACCATCGGTTGGAATGGCGCTTGGTATCTTATTTGGAGTTTTGGCTGTTATAGGTATGTTCAGATTTTGCACCTCTTATGAAATGTACATGGACAGTTGACATAATTTCTGATTTTGGTAGAAATAGGAGGTAATGTTTACAGATAAAGGAGTGATTTGACTAAGACATGGATGTGGTGATTGAGGTGGAGCTTAAAGTTTATTTCCACCTATGCAAGTGATTCACTTCACTTGACTTGTAATGATGAGGTGCAGTGATGATGTATACGTGTGCACATTTTCATGACTCACATTTTAGGCTTTCCTCCTAAGCCTGAAGCCCAAGAATTCTAAATTCTCTCCACAGGAAAATCAGTCAGACACCAGGGTTGGATGGTAATTAGGCTTCAAACAGCATATCAGCAAACAGCAGCTCCGCCTTTACAGAAAATACACTGTCTGGTGGTGGTGGGGCCGCCTATATGCCGTCCTATAGACGTCTATGGGATAGCAAAGCCTGCTTGAAGCTGGTTGAAATGCAGGTCAGAAGAGGTCAACTGCAGGTGAAATGCAAGTCAGCAGGAGGTCAATGGTCAACTGCGGGCAAATTGCAGGTCAGCCATTGTGAAATGCAAGTCAAAAGGAGGTCAACGGTCAACTGCAGGTGAAATGCACGTCAGAATGAGGTCAACTGGTCAAATGCTTCTGTCAATGAATTCTGAATGATCACAGAAGTGTCTCAAACTAATGCCTAACTGATGGCATTAGCACAATCCCAAAGGCTATTATTTGTTACTGTCCTTTAATAAAACTTCCCCAACACCGGTCCTCTCTGCAGTGCTATCACAGACGCCCCCCCTTCCCTACCAAGTCACAGCTAGAACTGTTCAATCAGCATGGAGCAAGAACGTTGTTGATTCCGCGTCTTTAGGTGTGACTTGGTGAGGGGGTTTGTGACCATCGCAGAGAGAACCCTATTCACACACAGGTAACAGCAGTCCTCTCTGCCATGTAGGGATGCAATCTAAAGTTTTTATGATGCTGTTGCAGATTAAGTTATTACTAAAGGGTAGTAAAACATGTTTGCCTGCACCATCTATGTATCCATGGGATATAACATAAGACTTCAATTGGGCTTTAAGTTTTCGTTTTGAAATATATGGAGGCATACATTTGGAATTCACAACATACACCAACAAACATAGTCAGAAAACACCACATGCTCAGTACTGATAAATATGGTTATACGTCAGCCCTGGAGAGTTAAACCAACTAAAATGTTCCATATCTTGGGGGCTTAAATAGTGAGATCTCTGCAATGAGTTCCTGGTTCTGCAGATCAGCTATAACCAGAGTTCCAACTCTCTCTGTAGAATTTGTGTATATAATATTACAGAGAATGCAACAGGAAATGCTGGACCATGTAAGGAGAGTGCGAACACTCAAAGATCCCACGTGAAAAATTTCCATTTTGGGTGGACTGGCTTTTTATAAAGAAATGTATGAACCTTTTGCTCACTAGACAAGATGAGCATATTTCCTATTGCCCACTCCTTTGCCTGTAGTGCAGGGGTGGGCAACTCTGGCCCTCCAGCTGTGCTTTAACAACAAATTCTAACATGCCTCTGCCTGTGGGAGCCTGTAACTGTCAGTCTTGCAATGCCTCATGGGACATGTAGTTCCATGACAGCTGGAGGGCTGGAGTTGCCCACCCCTGCTCTAGTGCATATTTACCAAGTCCATCCCTTTTACGCACTTTGTAGTGTTTCAAGCTGTCTTTCCATTGCCACCCTTTGTAGGGCAAGCAAAGCATCTGTACTAAACAATTGCACTTTGATAGCCTCTGGAGGCCACATGCATCTCTGTCCAGATGCTAAAGCTCAGCTCCATTGAGATACCTCACTGAGGTGGCAGAGCATCTACAGAGAAAAAGGCCAGCTGTATTTTACATTTTTCCAATACTGTTTTTATGTAAGTTTTTTAGCCACAAAATTCAAAAAAGTTGCCTGGGGGTTCAAGACCTGAAGGAGGGCACCCTTGTAGATAAGTGTGCCATAATGTGCAGGTATTCTGTGCATACTTGTAACTTATGGTAAGAAACCCCACCCCGCCCAGTGGACTTCATGTTCTGCTTTAACTTACTGCAAGCACTGGGTCAGCAGCTCTCAAACTGCTAAACTAAACAAACCTGGCGATTAGGGATAAGCTCATGTTTGTATTGAACCTGGTCTGAGCCCCTCCAATTCCGTGTGAAGTGTGATGGGCCACAAGCCCAATCAGTGTCGGCCCGGGCATTCTCTGCCCAGCAGCTACACATATTAACAAAGGAGCAGGATGTCTGTGCTGATATCATTTATCTTATATGGACATATGGCCATATTAGGTCAATGTAATTGCCCAAATATAGCCATGTGACTATACAACGTTAATGAGGTAACTGCATCCTACCCTTTGCTTACACACAGCTGCAGGTGGGAAATAGCCCCACTGAAGCTGATTGGTTGGCAGCAGAAGGACCTTCCTTCTGTGTTTGAAGAAGCTTTGAAATACATTCTTGGATGCATTGTTATGTATTCTCCAATTAAATATTGACCTGTCTTGTCCTTAGGTATAATCATTGCAGCTGTTTTTATCTCAATGAAGCAGAAGAAGAAGAAGCAATCTGCGCAGGCAGGCACTCCTGCAGAACGAGAGAAAATGCAGTCTTAATACATGGACTACCTAGCAGATTCCCCCCACATTCTGCAATCCAGGCACAACTGCAAATGTATTCCTGGTCATTATTAAATAACACTTGCTTTGGAATAACATAGTAACTTGTTCAAGTAAAGAAAACCTAAGTTTGATACTTAGGATGTTTTTATAGCTGTCACAGTCTCCTCACATTGGTAAATGAGGTGATGCATAGCGATTCACACGATTCGCCTTCTAGAAAAGTCAGAGCAAAAGTCGAAAAAAAATGTAAAAAACATGTTAACAAAACACCACTTCGTTCAGGTCTGTATTGACTCATACAATAAATGGTTTATATACTGCCAGTATAACTACCTGAATATGGTATTTATATAAGCTCCCCTAGTCCCCTTGCTCAGCTCAGTGAGCAGGCTGGAGGTGAGGAAGTAACACAGGGTGCTGCAGAGCAATAATAGTATAATAGCAAACTTTAACTATATAGTGTCACATGAGTTTCTGAACCACAAGACGGGCTAAATAGAATTATAAATATTTTGGCAGGTAAAACAGTTTACATATGAGGATTTCAGCTGGGTATTTATATGCTGGGCTTTCTCTAAATCTAAATCTCATTTCGGAGCTATACATACTGTTGGTCCATAACATCTACCAGCTTTTCTTGGTTCTCCAGTGGTGAGATCTCCCTGCTACATTCTCTGTATTGCATAATCAAGGTAGATCTAAACCCAATTACTAAACTCTCATATAAGTTATAATTATTAATCTGATTTTAAAACTTGTCTTCAATCTTCTTAGATCTGCAGCTTTTATCAAAAGAATATCTAGTGATCCTACTATTAAGGGCTTTAAGTTTTAGGCACTTCCTGCTACAGGATGACAACTATCTCCAAATTGTACTTCTGTTTTGTCACCTTATCACATGCTTACCACAAATGGCTGTGCCAACGCACCTTGCACAGGCATGGTCCAATGTTGTTACCATCGAGGAGTTTGGAGTAGTCACCACTCCAAGCTCACTCCTATGATAGACTACAATCTCAGTACAAATGAGTAAACTAAACATGAGATTGTAGTCTATCACAGGAGGGAGCTTGGAGTGGTGACTACTTTACATCACACACAGGGACCATGGGGAACAAAGGTAGCCCCCCTCCAGAAGGAAGGACAGTGTCAACACCAACTCAGAGATAATTTGAGGATCTATAGCCAAGTGATACACGAATAAGATACATTTTTGTTATTAGTTAAGATACATGAATGCATATTTAAGGTTAAACGTCTGAGTTTAGTGTGATCACAGTTGACAACAGTTACATTTTTACACCAGTTATAAATGTAACCACTCTATACAATACATCTATCTACATGCATTTGAGCTGGTTTGACACCAACTCCAGGCAACGCTTTTATTTTAGTTGTGGATATGGAAGGGATGTGGTTAGAACCTCAGTCATGTTTGTATCTGTCTGTGTCTCTATTAACATTTATTTTCTTTTTCTGTGCTGCCTAGACAGGAAGTGAAGGGAAATCTCCCTGATGGTAACACAGATAGTATTAAAAATCTGAAAGAGGTTTCTAAATACTTTCAGTCTACTAGGAAAATATTTGTTTTGAGGGCCCATTCACACCAAGGCCGTGCATTAATTGCACAGTTTTATGCAATTAACGCATGGCTCTGTGCAATGCACCTACCAAGGTGCATTGGGTTGCCATTCATTTGAATTGCGCCTGAAAGTCACCACCCGCCGGCAATGAGCTCGACTGTGCAGTACCACAATGCCTCCTGAATGCCTGTTTTTTTTTTTTATCCTAATGGGGATTTTGCATTGCAATACCAAGCTGCAACACTACATGCCAACTGCAGCATAAACTTTGATGATTCCGTGACACAAAGCATCGTGGTCACCACATTTGTGCATATGAGTAATCACCATGTTAGGTTTTAGGTGGGAGGTTAAGGGGGGGAGGGGGGGGGGGGGAAAATTAAACAAGGTCTTTGTGATAGATTGCTATTGAGTTTATTAGCATGGTTGAACTATTACAATTCATCAATGTAGGAAAGGCTTTTCTCTGTTAAAAAAGAAAAGAAGACGGACATTTATACCACCAAACCTCTGTAGTATCTTTTTGTATTATTTTTTTTCTGTGACTTTTAAAGCTTACATTAAACATTTACATAAAGTTCATGAGCACTGTTTATGTCGTCTGTGTGCAGTACTGACCAAAAAAAACTTTAATAAAATATTTGTGATATCTTAATTGCTTTGATATTATTTAGTTGCACCTTTTTTTTTTATTATAGTCTAGGCAAAAATAAAAAGCATGTGCAAGCTAAAATTATGTGCAAGCTGTAGTACTTTACGGTCATTACAAAAGGAGGGTGCAGGCACTGTTCAGAGGAGTCACATGATTCTCTTTGGCCCTGACCACAAGTGGCCATTGTCTCCTCTTGTTTAGCAGTCTGCAAAGCTAAACAGCTTCAGCTGCGAATAACTAAATGCAGCCAATGCAATAGGTCATATGTGTGCTGTAGAAGGGTGACATTTAGATGTATCTAATCCCAAAACGAAAAATACATGTTGCAGTTTACTAACCCTTAAATATAGTGGCTGCATTCATTATGTCTAAAGGTGCCCATACACTGTACGATTATCATACGATAATCGCGGAAAATCCCGCGATCGTACGATAATCGCAAAGTGTATGGAAGGCGTGCGACCGTTTCTACTGTACGGTCGCACGTCTTCCGTCGAACAAGCAGGCTGGAAAACCCGCCGAGAATCGTACGATTCTCGGCGGGTTAGTGGCCTGCTTGTTCGACAACTGCCAAACGGGCCGGTGTGCACACGCACACACTGCACGTTCAGCATTGCAGTCATCAGAAGCCCGCCCCTCAGGGGGGCGGGCTTGCGATGGTCGTTTGTACGATCTGCCTGTCCAAGATGGGCAGATCGTACGTTTTTTTAATTACTTTATAACCCTTGCAAGACAAAAGTCTTGCGAGGGTTGTAAAGTGTATGGCCACCATTATACCTTTATTTTGACCTGTGATCCTGCCAGTTACATCAATGAAAAAAAGCTGACCAATTATAAGCACCCCTGTCAGTGTGAAATAGTTTGTGACAATCCTCTATCTGCCACTTTTGCTGGACAGCTTGACCTGGTAAAAAAAAGTTGAAAAATAACAGACTTACTGGCTAGCAAGTGAAAAAATCCTAAAAAGAGAACTAATGCACCACATTTAAGGAGTGATAAGCTGCCATATATTACATTTTTGCTTTTAGGTATACTGTAGTAAATACACTTTAAACCAAAGCCAATCAGTGCCCCCTGGAGGACAGATGGGGAGGAGTAAATTGAGTAAGGACAGATCAGCATGCTTTATAAATTCAGCTCCGTACTTATATATCTGACATAGAATTAGAAAATGTCAGCCTACAAGCGTTGGATGTAAGGGAATATTGCATGACTGCCCGCTTATGCTGAGGGTAGCTCAAGTGTAAAGCTTTGTACTTAAAGAAGAACTCTGGGACCCAATGCATCGAGCGTCGATGCTAAGCCTGATGAAGGGACCCTGCATGGCCCCGAAAGTGCTTGTTTCCATTTTTGACAAATTGTTCAATAAAAGGAGCATTTGGTGATCCTGGAAGGATTTTCAGTGTGCTGGTAACATTCTTCACAACCAGCCTGAGGTGGTATGGCAACTCATTTGAAGAAGGGGCGGCTTCACAGGCAACTAACAGCACTCCTACATCCCCCGACTGACAGCTCGGCTATTCGCCACCTCCCGTCAGGTCCCCTTCTCCTGGCCATCTCAGGCGGCGAAAAAGGTAGGGACAGCCCTGGTTATAACCCCCCCTTCCTCTATCCAAAACTAAAAAAAAAGTTTTGGTTCCAGTTCTACTTTAACATTCCATTTGTGTATCACTATGAACAAATCATACAATGGACCGATGAGACGGATATCACTGAGAAGACAACTGGGGATGGGCACATCTTCCTTATCCCTCAGGATTACACTGCGTAGTAGATCACGATATCTCTGTGTTGTGGAAAATGTTCCCACCAGCCGCACAGCTCATTTGTTACAAATGAAACTGTAACTTCTCAGACACCTCAAATAGTTTTCTTTTGCTGAACAAATTATTGCTGTGAGGAAGCTTGCCAAGATGCAGGCTGCCAAACTGCTGGACTGATGAGGCCTATGGAAAATATGAAGCATGCGGCTCTGAACTTTCTCACTACTTCGTGTTGTTCAGCCCTGTTTGTTTAATGAAATTAAAGGGGCTTTCCATTTTCCAGAAGAACTCCAGTCGGTGTGTGTGTGTGTGTGTGTGTGTTTGGCTGGAACAAGATCTATTAATGACACAAAGCTGATTTTATTTTTAATTGTTTTATGCTGTCAAGACCCAATTCCTAGCCTATGATGTCCTTCTCTGGGAGCATGAGATGTAAATGCAATTTGTAGCAATGATACAGACTGAAAATCGATATAGAGAGGGCACCTCAAAAGACAATAACATACCTCCCAATGTTCTGAGATGAGAAATAGGGGTGCATTTCATTACAAAGTATATAGGCAAAGGAACAACCCTTCTACCTCCTAGTTACAGGCACAAAATAATGGTTTGTTAAGGGCCCGTTCACACCATAGCGTTGCGCTAAACACACAGTGTCCATGCATTTAGCGCAAGTTATCACACAGTGCACCTAGTGGGTGGTACTGTGCATTGCATTGACACTTATTTGAATGGTACCAAAACACCCCTCCCAGCAACCGGATGTTACAGTGCAGCACAACGCGCATTACCACAATAATGCATGTATTATTTTTTTTCACTGCAACATAATGCGCTACTTCACGTTACGCTGTGCTGCAATGCACAGCCGTTGGGAGGCCATATAAATGAATGGCAATGCAGTGCACCTAAGGCGCGATACCAAGTGCTAAATGTCCAGTGCGATAGTGTGCTCTACATGCACTGATACGGCACCTATTAGATCTGATGATGTAGCATGGCTTTGGCTTTTCAGTAAGGACTTTCAG